GTTCGAATCCAAGGCAAACCATTCAACATCACAGTAGTCCAAGTCTATGCCCCAACCACTGGTGCTGAAGAGGATGAAGTTGACCAGTTCTGTGAAGGCCTACAACACCTTCTAGAAATAACACCAAAAAAATGATGTCCTTATCATCATGGGGGATTGGAATGCTAAAGTAGGAAGCCAAAAGATAACCAGAATAGCAGGCAAGTTTGGCCTTGGAGTACAAAATGAAGCAGGGCACAGGCTGGTAGAATTTTGTCAAGAGAATACGATGGTCATAGCAAACACTCTTTTCTACAACCCAAGAGATGACTCTACACATGGACATCACCAGATGGTCAACATAGAAATCAGACTGACTATGTGCTCTGCAGCCAAAGATGGAGAAGCTCTATCTATACAGTCAGTAAAAACAAGACCAGGAGGTGACTGTAGCTCTGATCACGAGCTTCTTATTGCAAAATTTAGGCTTAAATTGAAGAAAGTAGGGAAAAGCACTAGGCCACTCAGGTATGACCTAAATCATATCCCTGATGAATATACAGTAGAGGTGACAAATAGATGTAAGGAATTAGATCTGATAGACAGAGTGCCTGAACAACTATGGATGAAGGTTCACAACATTGTACAAAAGGTAGCAACTGAAACCATCCCAAGGAAAAAGAAATGCGAGAAAGCAAAATGGCTGTCTGAGGAAGCTTTACAAATAGCTGAGGAAAGAAAGGAAGCAAAAGGCAAGGGAGAAAGGGAAAGATACACCCAATTGAATGCAGAATTCCAGAGAATAGCTAGGAGAGATAATAAGGCCTTCTTAAATGAACAGTGCAAAGAAATAGAAGAAAACAATAGAATAGGGAGGACCAGAGATCTCTTCAAGGAAATTGGAGATATGAAGGGAATGTTTCATGCAAAGATGGGCATGATAAAGGACCGAAATGGCAGGGACCTAACAGAGGCAGAAGAGATTAAGAAGAGGTGGCAAGATTACACAGAAGAACTGTACAAGAAAGAGCTTAATGTCCCTGATAACCACAATGGGGTGGTCACTGACCTCAAGCCAGACAGTCTGGAATGTGAAGTCAAATGGGCCTTAGGAAGTCTGAGCAACAAGAAAGCTAGTGGAGGTGACAGTATTCCAGCTTTGCTACTCAAAATCTTAAGAGATGATGCAGTAAAAGTGCTACACTCAATATGCCAGCAAATTTGGAAAACTCAACAGTGGCCACAGGATTGGAAAAGGTCAGTTTACTTTCCGATCCCAAGGAAGGGCAATGCCAAAGAATGTTCAAACTACCACACCATTGCACTCATTTCACATGCTAGCAAAGTTATGCTCAAAATCCTACAAGCTAGGCTCCAGCAGTATGTGGACCGAGAACTAGCAGAAGTACAGGCAGGATTTCGAAGAGGGAGAGGAACTAGAGATCAAATTGCCAACATATACTGGATCATGGAGAAAACTAGGGAGTTCCAGAAAAACATCTGCTTCGTTGCCTATGCTAAAGCCTTTGATTGTGTGGATCACAACAAACTGTGTCAAGTTCTTAAAGATTTAGGAGTACCAGACCATCCAATTTGTCTCTTGAGAAACTTATATGCGGGTCAAGAAGCAGCAGTGAGAACTGGACACAGAACCACTGATTGGTTCAAAATTGAGAAAGGACTTCAGCAAGGCTGTATACTGTCGCCCTGCAGAGCACATCATGAGAAAGGTGGGGCTAGATGAATCACAAGTTGGAATTAAGATTGCTGGGAGAAGTATCAACAGCCTCAGATATGCAGATGATACCACTCTAATGGCAGAAAGTGAAGAGCAACTAAAGAGCCTCTTGATGCGGGTGAAGGAAGAGAGCGCAAAGGTTGGCTTGAAACTCAACATTAAGAAAACTAAGGTCATGGCATCCAGTCCAATCACTTCCTGGCAAATAGATGGGGAAGAAATGGAGGTAGTGATAGATTTTATTTTCCTGGGCTCCAAGATCACTGCAGACGGGGACTGCGGCCAAGAAATTAAAAGACACTTGGTCCTTGGGAAGAAAGCTATGGCAAATCTAGACAGCATGCTAAAAAGCAGAGACATCACGATGCCAACAAGAATGTGTATAGTCAAGGATATGGTTTTCCCAGTTGCAATGTATGGCTGTGAAAGCTGGACCATAAGGAAGGCTGCCGAAGAATTGAGGCCTTTAAATTGTGGTGCTGGAGAAGACTCCTGCGAGTCACTTGGACTGCAAGGTGATCAAACCAGTCAGTCCTAGAGGAGATCAACTCTGACTGCTCTTTAGAAGGCCAGATCCTGAAGATGAAACTCAAATACTTTGGCCACCTAATGAGAAGGAAGGACTCACTGGAGAAAAGCCTGATTCTGGGAACAATTGAAGGCAAAAGAAGAAGGGGATGGCAGAGAATGAGGTGGCTAGATGGAGTCACTGTAGCAGTTGGCATGAGCTTAAGTGGACTCCGGGGGATGGTGGAGGACAGAAGGGCCTGCAGGAATGTTGTCGCAATGGGTCGGACGTGACTTTGTGACTAACAACATTTAGCTAAAGGATGTTGACAAGGTGCTTGGACCTTGCAGCCACTGGATCCTTGCCCCTTTTAGCTTAAGATAGCAGGGAGAGAACAGCTGCTGTGCCAGAAAAGTGATCCATGTTTCTTTAGAAGGGGGAGTGATCTGATGCTGCCTTAAAGAGATTAGTGGTGAGGCCACTCTTGAAGAAGTCTGCTCTGGACCAGGAAGATCCAAATAATTTTAGGCTTGTGGCAAATATTCCCTTCATGGGGAAGGTTAGTGGTGGCCAATTAGTTCCAGGCACACTTGGATGAAATTGCTTATCTGGATCCATTTCATTTGGGGTTCAGGCTGAGTTTTGGTACAGAAACAGCTTTGGTCACCTTGTAAGATGACCTGTACCTGAAGAGAGACAAAGAGTGCACCCTCTTGATATTCCTGGATCTCTCATTGGCTTTTGATACCACTGACCATCATGTCCTTCTGGGTGACTATCTCAGTTGGGAGTGGAGGTGGTGCCTTGTAGTGGTTCCAATCCTATTTGGAAGGCAGCTCC